CTGTGCTGGGGGAACCCAGAGCTCCTGACATGCTAGGAAAGCACACTAGTGATGAGCCTCACCCCAGCTTCAATAAGCATTCCTGCCCACTCCTCACCTAGCAGCGTCCCACTGTCCTCCTAAGGAGGATGTCTGCTCATGAGATGTCACATCAGCCCTGCAGCCTCAGCTCAACAGCCTTTGTTTGCTATTTCTGATGGACCTCATTGAGAGGGGAGATGTGGTAAAGCCATCACAGATGCTTAGTTCTGGAATATAAGAGTGTAAAGACAGAAGGCAGGAAGGAGAGTGAGGTCAGTTCTACCTAATAGAATCAAGAAAGTCTTCTTACAAGATTTGAATCTTTGTTGTTTTGATTTTTGAGACAAGGTCCCACTTTGTAACCCTGGCTGGCCTGGAACTCACCAGGTAGACCAGGCTGGCCTTAAATTCATGGAGATCTACTTTCTGCCTTCTGAGTGGTAGGATTAAAGGCACATGTCCCACCATACCCAGATAAGATTTTCGAGCCAGATGCCAGTACTCTCAGCACCTAGAAGGTGGTGGCAAGAAGAATTCAAGGCCAGCCTCAGCTAATAGCAAGTTCAAGGTCAACCTGGACTACATGAGAACCTGTCTCAAACAAACATATAAAAAGATAGGGGTGTGTGTATGTGTGTGTGTACATGCACCTGTATACATGCACACACACATGAGCATGTAGAGGACAGAGATTCACCTCCAGTGTTGTTCCTCGGAAGCCATCTGTCTTGTTTTGGGTTTGTTTTTATTTTTTATTACATTTATTTATTTATTTATTTATTTATTTATTTGTGTATATGGGCGGGTGGGTGCCTGCCACAGTGTATATGTGGAGGTCAGAGGACAACTTGTGGGGGTCAGTTCTCTCCTACCACATGGGTCCCAGGGATCCAACTCAGGGTATCAAGCTTGGTGGTATGTGTCTTTACTCAGTGAGCCATCTATTTGTGCGTGTGTGTGTGTGTGTGTGTGTGTGTGTGTATACAAACATACATGTGGATTCCCATAGAGGCCAGAAAAGGGCATCGGATCCCCAGGAGCTGGAGTTACATGCAAAGGTGCCAGGAGCCAAACCTGGGTCCTCTGCAAGAGCTGCAAGTGCTGTTAACCACTGAGCTATCTCTCCAGCTCCCCTACCTTGTTTATTGAGACAAAGTCTCTCACTGGGACCAGGGCCTTGCCAATTAGGCAAGATTGTCTGGTCAGCAGCCCCAGGGATCTGCCTGTCTCCACCTTAGCAGCACAGGGATTACAGACATGAGCCACCACATCTGACTTTTATTTTCACATGGGTTCTTGGGGAAACTCAGGTCCTTGTGCTTGTGGGGCAGGCGCTTTACTACCCCCACCCCCAGTCATCCACACCCCTAAAAGAGGCAGATTTTCATCAGGCCCATAAGGGACAGAGGATGCTGGCTCAGTACCTCATCCACACCCCTAAAAGAGGCAGATTTTCATCAGGCCCATAAGGGACAGAGGATGCTGGCTCAGTACCTCCCTGAGGCATGTGACTACCAGGTATGGGAAAGGGAAGTTTGAGCAACTGAGTATAGGGAACAGGGTTCAGGATTGTGGCTGCAGAGGACTAGGGCCAGCAGGACATGATCTGGCAGACAGCAGAAAGCCAGTGATTTTAAGGAGGAGGGGGTGTGGCTGGTGAGTTCAGAGGGCTGTCTTCAGCAGTAGGATGGAAAGTGAGTTCAAAGCAGACAAGGCAGGCAAGAGGCCAGTCCTGGCAGGAAATGATGAAGATCAGCAATGGAATGGAGAGACGCTAGGTACAAGGAGGTCTGTTAACTGTCATACCTTGACAACTGAGTAGTAGAGGACAGTGACTGAAGGCAGCTCAGATTGTTCACTTGGGAGCAACACTCACCAAGACTGGGAATTCAGAGCAAGAACTGTTGAAGACAAAGATGAGCCTCTTTCTGAGCAGGGTGAGTTTGAGATGCAGTCGGTGAAGCCTATGGATGGTCTTGTATAACAGGCAATGGGCCAGAGGGGGCTGGTACCCAGGAAGGAGGCAAAGTGGAGCTTGAGCTGTGGGAGCCATCAGTCCTGGAGTACAGGTATAGATGAGATTACCTGGGGAAGGCATGATACAATGTGAGGAAAAGAGCTCAAGGAGTCTCACATACTACCAGCTGGTCCTGTCCAGCCAAGGGCAGATTCTCAGACCAGGCACATGCTGATCCTTCCCAATTCCCTTGCTATACTTACTAGAACTGGGCTGTCAAGAGGCTGACACAGAAGAGTTTCCACTTTTCCCTCTAAATTTTCAAGAGAGGGTCTCCCTGTAACCCCAGCTGATGTGAAACTCTATGTGTAGACTAGGCTGGCCTTGAATTCAGAGATCAGCTTGCCTCTGCCTCCTGAGTGCTGAGATGAAAGGTGTGCACCCAGCACCACACCTGGCTTCTTTCCCCTTTTTGCTAAACTCATATTCCTTCATCACAGAATCTGAAAGTAAAATTCCTTAAAGACCATTCACCCACTTCTGACCAGATCAGGTTATTGATTTCCCCCAAAAATGTGACTTGTGCCTACTCAATTCCACTTTTGAGGTATCTGCACGTCATCTGCTTCCTCCAGCTCAAGCAGCAAACCCAGGGCCCCACTGTCCCCCAGCTGCCTCCTCTGTGAGCTGCTGTGCTAGCTGTGCTATGTTCAGGCTCTGCCTGCCCCCTGCACTTGGTGCCAGGATCAAACCCAGGGCTTTACACATGCTAAGCTAGTATTCTACCATGAGTTGTATTCCCAGACCCTATTTTTGTATACGTTCTGACTTAACTGTCACACTAACCCATTGACTAGGCACAATTATTGCCCAAAGAGAAAAATGATATATGGAAATGTACAACTTTCCAGAACTGGGGCTTGGGGTAGAACCCAGTGGTATAGCACAAGCTTAGTATATACAAGTTTCAATCCCCAGCCCACATGTGTGCATATGCACATACGTGCACACACACATACCACACATACACACACCACTAAGATCCACCTGCCTCTGCCTCTGTGAGTGCTGGGATTAAAGGTATGTGCTACCACACCCAGTGAGAATTTACGAATTCTTATCCCTGAGCTGGAGAGATGGCTTGATAGTTAAGAGCACTGGCTGCTCTTGCAGAGGACCCAGGTTTAGTTCCCAGCACCCACTTGGTGGCTAACAACTGTCAGTAACTCCAGTGCCATGGAATCTGATGTTGTCTTTTGACCACTGCAGGCATTGCATGACATGGGTGCACTTACCTACCTGCAGGCAATACACTCGTACACATAAAATAAAAATAATTTAAAAGAACAGTCAGAGTTCTTAACCACTGAGCAATCTCTCCAGCCCCCTAAAAATAATTTTTTTTAAAAAATCTTATCCCGGACATGGCAGCTAACAACTGTTTATAACTGGTTGTTCTTGCAGAAGACTCGGGTTTGAATCCCAGCCCCCACATGGCAGCTAACAACTGTTCATAACTCCAGTCCCAGGGGATCCAACAGCCTCTTCTGACCTCTGCGGGCATTGCACAACATGGGTACCCTACATGCAGGTAATACACACATACACATAAAATAAAAATAATATTTTTTTTAAGTTTAAAAAAAAAAAAAGCCTTATCCCACCGGGCGTGGTCAACACCTGTAGTCCCAGCACTTGGGAGGCAAAGGCAGGTGGATCCTGTGAATTCAAGGCCAGCCTGGTCTACATAGTGAGTTCAGGCCAGCTGGGGCTACAGGGAGACCCTGTCTCAAAAAAAAAAAAAAAAACCAAACTCTTACCCTTTGCACTTTTGCTGCCTTACACACAACAGATGCTTGTTCCTGATGATATTACTAATGGACACTTGTAGAATTTTAGAGATGGGACGGATTTTCAAGTTTACCTCATTTTACAGATGAGGAAATTAAGACTGAAATTGATTAACTCCTAGGATTGCAATGAGAACTTAAATATAACTGGCCTAAACTACAATACAGACCCCACAAACCAGGGAGCAGAACAAGCATAGTGTTTCTAGTCATGTGAAAGACACTCAAACTCTAGTGCCCACTAGATTCACCTGTGCGAGCCCCACACTTCATCAGGCCAACATGGCGTTGAGCCTGGATATAAGAGTTTAGTCCTCAGTTCAGCTCTTTATGAGTGGTCATTCATTTCTCTCTGAGCTGCCCATTCCTCATCTACAAAAGTGCTAATGAGGTGCTCACAGCTGCATGGAAAGTTAGCAGGGTTCTACTGGGGATGGAGTCTGGAGTCAACCTTGCTTTTGAATCCTGATGCTACTTTTATTGTTGCCTTTGGGCAATCTACTCCCTCATCTTTAAAATGGGGAAGCAGAGCCAGCCATGGTGATACATTCCTTTAATCCCAGCACTTGGGACGCAAAGGCAGGCAGAACTCTGTGAGTTCAAGGCCAACCTGGTCTACATAGTGAGTTCCAGGCCAGCTGGGGCTACAAGGAAACCCTGTTTCAAAAAAAAGAAAAAGACCAAAAAAAAAAAAAAGGATAAAATGGGGAAACATGATCTACCTGAATGTTTAGGATGAGGGTCAGAAGTCATCAGTGGGAAGGGGCTCAAGAGATGACTCAGAAGTTAAGAGCACTTGCTGCTCTTCCAGAGAATCAGAGTTCAGGTCCCAATACCCATGTCAGGCAGCTCACAACCACCTATAACTCTAGCTCCAAAGGATCTGACGCCTTCTTCTGGCCCCTTTGGGCACCTACACACATATATGCAAATGTATTCATAGACAGACACACATACAGATAAGTAAAAATAAAAATAAATGAAAAAAAATAGAAGTTATCCTTTTGGTGAAACCACTCTAACTCTGTATGTCCAGTATGGCTGATTCTTCCGAAGTGTTATAAGCACACTAAGTAGCATTCATAAACCACTACCCACTTTTCATCCTCAGAACACTTATATCCATGAAAGCATACCAGAAAAATGACACCAAATATATGTATTTTTTCCAGGTGTCCACATTTCTAAAGGACAAAGTTCAAAATTCTAATGGTCGCTTTGTGTTGCCAGTGTCTGGGCCTGTTCCCTGGGGAACTGAAGTTCCTGGACTCATCAGGTGAATTCTCAGCAGTAATTACCCAGCAGTGTTTAAGATGCCAAGAAAACAGAGTGTGCCTACCTCTTAATGCACAGGACTGCCCAGCTCCCTGGGCTCTGCACACCCTTCCTTTCTTCAGTAAAGCTCGACTATGAGGAGGTCAAGGATCTAATCCAAACTTTGCCACTTGGGGTGGGGGCAGGATAAACTTGAGGCAAGCCACCCACTTGCCCATGTTCATTTCCTCACCTAGTAAATGAGTGGTTGCTCTGAGAATAAATGGTAGCACTCTAAAGTGCTTACGCAGCCCTTGGCTTATACCGTGCCCTCAGTGAGTACTATCCTTACTGTATGACTGTCACAATTGACATCTTTGTTTGGTTGGTTTTGGTGGTACCAGGGATGGAACCCAGAGCCTTGCACATGCTACATCTCCAACCCAGCATCTTTATCTTGAAGGAGGGCATAAGTTCCTTTGTGTCCTGTTGTGTGCAAAGGATAAGGCAGCCTTCGGAGCTGCCCTAGCTTGGAGAACACTCCGTCATGTCATGCTTTGTATTTTAGAATGTTCAACGACAAGGGCCAAGAAGTAAAGAAAATAGAATTCAAGCATGGTGGAGACTATGTTGCTGCACCCAAAGAAGGCTCTTTTGAACTGTATGGAGACCGAGTCTTGAAACTGGGAACTAACATGTAAGCAAATTCTCCCTCTCTGAATGAACTTGAGTCAGTGGAGGTCACTTTATTTAAAAAAAGAAAGAAAGAAAGAAAGAAAGAAAGAGAGAGAGAGAGAGAGAGAGAGGGAAGGAAGGAAGGAAGGAGGGAGAAAGAAAGAAAGAAAGAAAGAAAGAAAGAAAGAAAGAAAGAAAGAAAGAAAGAAAGAAAGAAAGAAAAGAAAAACGGACTTCTGCTCTGAAAATCCCCACTGACTGGCCTGGGGGTGTGGCTCAGCTAGTGGGGTGCTTCCCTAGCATGAACAATCCCCTGGATTCCATCCCCTGGTCTGGTAATGCATACCTGTAATCTCGGCTAATGGGTGGTGGAAACAGGAGGATGAGAGGTTCAAAGTACTCCTGAACTACGTAGTGAGTTTGAGGTCAGCCTAGACAAAACGAGACCCTATCTCAAAAAAATTCTGCCGACCATTGGAATCATTTCCCCCAAATAGAAATCATACAGTGCCCTGACATTTGCAAAAGGCCCCTCAGAAACCCCAAATTTAGGCATTTCCATAGGCTGAAGATATGTATTTGAAGTAGCCATGGAAAAGAAGTAGCCAATGGCTTCTCTGCAGTAGAAATCCAGAAACTCACAGCCTTCCTGTGTGAGTTCTCAGTGCTACTGTTCCCAGCAGGAGGCACCTCCACATTGGGAAGAAGTGAAATTTGAATAGTAAACAACTCAAGTGTATTCTACACTCATAGCACCTTTATGAATGCCATTTAATATCTCAAAATAAAAACTATAAATTAGCTGGGTATAGTAGCATACACTTATTCCACACTGGGAGACAGAGACAGAGGCAAGTGGATCTCTGTGAGGTCTAGGCCACCCTGGTCTACACAGAGAGTTCCAGGATAGCCTGGGCTGCATAGTGAGACCCTGTCTCAAAAACAAACAAAAACTATGACCTATGTTTACAGGTTAGAAGAAAGTCAGTGAACAGGGACTAGATAATGTTACCATTTTCTGTTGATTCCAGGTACAGTATGAATCGGCCAGTGGAAACTCAAATGTCTGGAACAGCAAAGAACTCCACCTCACGGATACAGGTGAGCTGCTACCCACTCCTTATCCCCCTGCACAGAAATCTGCGTGAGATTCTGGGCATTTAGTCCCAGCACTCAGGAGGCAGAGGCATGCAGATCTCTGTGAGTTTGAGGCCAGCCTGGTCTACATAGTGAGTTCCAGACCAGGCAAGACTACATAGTGACACCCTGTCTCAAGAAAAATGGAGGGGAGGAAATCTTCACGAGTAGGAGGGGTGCATTCTAGCTTTCTTTCAGAGCCACTCAACATTCCCTTACTGTTTGCAGTCTTCTCCATTCAGCCTTACAAGTACACAGGCTTTTAATTGTAGCTTTTCATGGAGCTTTCCAGTGATCTGACTAATTAGGTAATTTTAGGATTGGTTCACCACCATAATTAAGTAGGAACCACATACCAGGACATGGGAAATAGCATTGTACCAAAGCCACGAGGTCCATGGTTGCCTGAGTCCAGCATATGTATGGGCATGAATAATAAAATGCCTTTTTTAATGTTTCCCAGTGTAAGGATGTAGTGACCAGGTTCAAAATAAGATTTTCATTCCTCTGAGTTCCAACTCTACAAATTTCACTAACTAGCCACAGGCTAGCTATGGGACAAATCATGGAATAGTCAGTTATCAAAGATTTATGGCATTGCATCCATGGGCTGGGTACCAGGACAGAAGCTGGTGTAGATGTGGTCCCATCCTGAAGAGGCTTTTAGTTCCCTGGGAATGACAGTAGAAGAAACAAATACCAAGATGGAAATGGAAGGTAAGTTTGCTGGTGGTCTGTGCCAGAAGAAGATTGTATGTTCTGTCCATTGGGGTGGGGCCAGGGGATAGGGATCACAAAGTCTTTCAGAGGAGGTAGCATGGAAGAGGGGCTCTAGGATAGGCAGGACATTAAGTAGCAGAGGAAGAGGAGTGGGTGGCAGACAAAGTGACAGGATGAGCAGAAGCATAGATGGGCACAAAGAAGCATCATGTTTGGGGCAGCAGGTAGGCAGCTGGTCTCCACGTGGCTAGACACAGTGGAAGCAGGTGGCAGAGGTTTCACTGGGTGCAAGGATATCGGGGATGTTGGGGACTTATTAAGGAGAATCTGGAACAACTCCACTTTGTTCTTTATACTGGAGGCATAGGGGTTTGTTTTGAGCAAGGGAAAAATAAAACAAGTGTGTTTTAGATAACTGATGGTGGGGCTGGATAGATGGCTCAGCTGTTAAGAGCACTGGCTACTCTTGCAAAGGACCCGGGTTCAGTTCCCAGAACCCACAGGGCAGCTAACAACCACCTGGAACTCCAGTTCCAGGGGAGCCAGCACCCTCTTCTGACTTCCTCAAGCATTGTGTGCACGTGGTACACTTGCATAACATGCAGGCAAACACTCATACACATAAAATAAAAGTCAGTCGATAAATAAAAAGTTATAGATGACTGATGGTAGCAAATTAGGGAGTCCAGAGCCAGGTAGGAAGGAAGGGTGAAGAAAGAAGTCTGGAAAGTCTGGAAAGGATGGTGAGAGGAGGAACGGCCGGGCTGTGTTCCGGGCTATCACCACCAGAGGGCAGTGGGAGTCCTCAGACCTGGAGACTTGACAGCAGATGAGATGCCGAGGGAACTGAATTGACTGAAGAGGAAGCAGGCTGCTTCTCTGTCCTCCAAGGAGGAAGGTGGTCGGAGGAGAAGTGTGAGTCTCCGGGTTGCTTCATGGCTAGGGTCCCTCTGCTGCTGACGCCGGTTGTTTTTCTTTTGGTTTAAGCCTGCTTTCTTTGCCTTAGCTGGACCCAGAAATAATTTAAACAGTTACTGTTCTGCTTTGTTGTATAATTCCTCGTGGGTCTCTGGGGTCTTAGCAGGAAATGTGATCACCTTCACGTGGCTACACATCATACAGTTCTTTCTACAGGAAAGCATTGTTCCAAAC